TTTATGATGCATGGAGCAGGACATAAATGACTGTAGGAACTAGCATATGTAACAGAACAATGGGGGCACCGTGTACTCCACGTGGGGAATGTGATAGAATTTCAAAGGGACTAAAATGACTCAAGAGAACATGTTTGTTATTTTTTGCTCCTGATACCCCCAACTGTTCTTTTACATGTGCACATTCCCACAAGCCATCCACACATCCCTATCAATATCTCATGGGAAATAAAAAGAAAAAAAATTATGATACAGAAGACGTGAACTACTACAATGAAACAAAGATATGTTGGTAACTGAGATAGCAATGGAGGGAAGAGGGAGGGCTACAGAGGCAAAAAGAGAGACATTGATGTACCAAAACAAAATAAATGGGTTGTGGATCATCAGGGCAGCATGTTTCCTTATCATATAAAAAACGATATAATTAACATTCCCTGGACTGTTTTTCCTTAATCTCTTATTTGGTTTCAATATGTGTATACTTCTTTCCAGAGGGTTATTCAAAATATCAAATAGTTCTCAAAGAGAATGTTATATAATATACAGGAGGAAAATCCTAAAGAAGAACTTTATAAAAAATGAAACCTAAAAGACAAGAATAAGATATATCTAGCTTCACAATAACTATCTTCTTTTTTTAAAATCTATTTCTGGAACATATGGAGAGGCTATAGAGACAGTCAAAAAGCTGCAGCAATCACAATACCATAATCATAACTCAAGAAATGGAGGCTTAAATGAGCTTCTTTTACTCTTTTAAAATTCCTTCAGGACATTTCTGTTAAAAACTGATTACTAGTTTTTAACCCACTGGGTCTGGTTGCTTTACAGCAATCACATGGCACAAAGTATGAGCAACAGGCTTATGTGAGTGGTCACTCTGATGGCGGTGTGGCCTGTAGGCCAGGCGGATGCGAACACTTGTGAGCAATGACAAGACTCCATGCCTCCCCTTTGCAATATTAATTTTTCTTTTTATGCATAAGCATTTTTTTATCTTTTTTTGTAATTTTCCAATGTCCATATTCATCATGTGACTTGCTTTACCCAGATGGAACTGACTGTTTTCCTTGTACAGACTCCACATCATCTCTCTAGGCAGTCCATAATTCAGTACAACACTAATAGTAATAATAATAATAAGTAACATTTTGTGAAAGAGGGAGAGAGAGAGAGAGAAAGAGGGAGAGAGAGAGAAAGAAAGAGGGAGAGAGAGAGAAAGAGGGGGAGAGAGGGAGAGAGAGAGAAAGAGGGAGAGAAAGAGAGAGAGAAAGAGGGAGAGAGAGAGAAAGAGGGAGAGAGAGAGAAAGAGGGAGAGAGAGAGAAAGAGGGAGAGAGAGAGAAAGAGGGAGAAAGAGAGAAAGAGAGAGAGAGAGAGAAAGTGGGAGAGAGAGAGAAAGAGGGAGAGAGGGAGAGAGAGAGAGAGAGAGAGAGAGAGAGAGAGAGAGAGAGAGAGAGAGAGAGAGAGAGAGAGAGAGAGAGAGAGAGAGAGAGACAGAGAGAGAGAGACAGAGAGAGAGAGACAGAGAGAGAGAGAGAGAGAGAGAGAGAGAGAGAGAGAGGAGAGAGAGAGAGAGAGAGAGAGAGAGAGAGAGGAGAGAGAGAGAGAGAGAGAGAGAGAGAGAGAGAGAGAGAGAGAGAGAGAGAGAGAGAGAGAGAGAGAGAGAGAGAGAGAGAGAGAGAGAGAGAGAGAGAGACAGAGAGAGAGAGAGAGAGAGACAGAGAGAGAGAGAGAGAGAGACAGAGAGAGAGAGAGAGAGAGAGAGAGAGAGAGAGAGAGAGAGAGAGAGAGAGAGAGAGAGAGAGAGAGAGAGAGAGAGAGAGAGAGAGAGAGAGAGAGAGAGAGAGAGAGAGAGAGAGAGACAGAGAGAGAGAGAGACAGAGAGAGAGAGAGACAGAGAGAGAGAGAGACAGAGAGAGAGAGACAGAGAGAGAGAGACAGAGAGATAGAGACAGAGAGAGAGACAGAGAGAGAGAGAGAGAGAGAGAGAGAGAGAGAGAGTGTTTCTTCATATAACCTTTGATGTACAGCAGAGTTCAGAGATTTGTGTGCAATGCACAAAGTATTTCAACTCATCATTGTGATTTGAGTGTTTATAATGTGGACAGACAGTTTTTTGTGACTTCTGCCTTGTGAGAATGCTACTTCATCCTTCAAGAATTAAATGTAGTTTTCAGAAAAAAATATCCTTTGTATTTACCAAGCTTTAGTGTTTGCTAATTTAGTTATTCCATTTACAGAGAGGCAAACTATATGTGTTGTGAAAAAAAGTTTGAAAGGCTGCCTGGAAGATAAAAATAAAATAAAAAAAACTTTTAATCATTCACTTCAAATATAGGATGTAAGGATGCCAGGACACTAAATATGGTTGCTATAGTACCATAATAAAGCAAATCTGAAAGAACCCTATAAAAACAATCCCACATTCCACAGGATATTATCAACTTACTTGTTTATTGAGTATTTTTAAAGATTCCTGTAAGAAAAAATGAGTTATTCACCTGAATAAAATCCCCTATTCCTAAATGTTATTTCCAATACTATCCACTATTTATCCGGTGAATAAATAAATCAAATCATGTGTCACTGTCCTTATACAGGTAAAACCCACAAAAAGACTGATATAGAGAGCCCTACCTTTGGTTTGGAATTGCTTTCACTATCCTCCGACTGTTTCTCCTCGTCCAAAGCCTTTTTCACCTTACGGATTTTCCACTCGACACGGTGTTGCTCACTCTTCTGAAGAAATTCCAAGAAGTCTTCACTAACTTCCATGCTTTCCTCCTCATCCTGCAAATGCATTCCTTGGCTCATCTGCGACTGCAGGGCTTCACTGTCACTCACTGTTCCTTGGCTGTCATGAATGGCCTGAGTTCTGTGCTGCCTGTTCTTTTTCTTCCTTTTTCTCTTCTTGCGATTTCGGCTTGATCTCGAAATGTCACTCACACTTCTACTGGATGCAGATTTTCTAAGCCTTGAAAAATCGCTGTACCTTGGTAAATTTTGACATGGTTGTTCTTTGAGCTGAAATCATAAATAGAGAAACAAGCGGATTAATAAACTAACCGATAAAATTTTTAAAAATTTGGTGGTTTAACCTTAATCCAAAATTCATGCAAAGAATTGGCTAAATAAAATACTGGACTTTGAACCTAAATACTATAAAACACCACACAGTTACTCAGAACATATTACTACCAAAATGCCGTAAGACTGCTAATCCTCAAAACCATTCAAAACTGCACCACATTAAAACTAGATCTACTTACCATTCCACTGAGGGCTGTATTAGTATGTGATGCAATATGTCTCGCTCTTACTACTGCATCTTTGTGTGCTGTCATCATCATGGTGTTGTAATGATGCCAAAACCTTGCATAACGTTTGTCGTAATACCAAGGATCTTCACCGGGCTTCTCAACTTGACTGTCACTGTACATCTGAAATAGAATCAATGTTTTCATTATCAATAAAAAAATCACCATTCTTTTTTAGACAGTCATCAATGCCTAAAAGAAAAAATTATCATTGAAGTATCTGTTACCTTGATGCATAGTCTGCTGCAACTTCACCAGGAATTTGCAATAAGACTGAACAGTGAGAAGGAATTATATCAAACCTTTTAATTTCCATTTTGTGTACATGAGCACAAATGTAAGTAAAAAGAAAATCAAATATAAATTCACCTCATTTATCTATTCATTCATTTATTATTTTTAAAAATCATATTTACTTATTCATTTCTTGTTTGTTTTCGATCTTCTTGGAGTTAGAAATCCTCTGTTAGGGACACACTCGCTCCATTGTTTTACTGTTAATTGATAGGAACAAATGGGACGCCAACTACTAATCTTTAAATGTCCATAACTTCCTTAATATTGAACCTATTCCTATGATCTAGGTGTCATTTGTAGTGTTTGAATTTTTTGGTCACATACCTATATTAAGAACTCTATCTGTATGAGGGTGTTGTGGGCTTTTTCGCAGTAAATATGAGGTGTCAGCAGCTGTACCTGTGCCTTTTTATATGACTATTGATAGAGATGCAATAGTCCACGTGAAAATGACATAGTAAGACCCACCTCAGAAATATATTGATGCAAAATGGGGAGTAAAAACCTGCGGATTTCTGTCTCTCCTCAAATGTAAACAATGAGGGTAACGAGATTAAATATATTTATGTGGCATCGCATTGCAATGATAAATTAATCAATAGATACACGGTGATTTATTACAAACAATTAATTAATTGTCATATATCAGTAAAAGATCTAAAGTGAAGAATTATGACTAAACTGCAAATCAAATGGATCATCAAATCTATCGGTAGGTTTCTTTACATTTATGAATTACGTTATCTTTTTTTCCAGAGACCAATCCATATTAACGTATTAGTTTAGCAAAACAAATCAAAAGGAGTATAAGCAGCCTTCATAGTAGAAATACTTTTACTAGAAATACTTTTAAGCTCGTACTGCGCCAAAAGCAAAAACGGGTTCAAGTTTCAAGTAACGATTTTGTTTGTTTTTTTTACTTTTCTCTTATTCGGTTGTCATTATCTATATCAAAACATTACGATGGATTATACAAAATAGATTTAGATACAACAGTATAAGGATAAACATGTAGAAGATTTTGATGACCATTTTTAAAGCAATTTAAGCCTCGTTTAGTGATCAAATTATGCCCGTATGATATCCCTTTGAGAATCCCAAACTCTACTCGTTGCATATTTAATCATCTTATCCTTTAGGAAGTTTACCCATGTCGATAAAATACCCCCTCCACTGGCGTATCCAAAGGGGGGGAGGGGGAGGACACGTGCCCCCTTCATTAAGATCTTTGAATCATGAACTTAATTGAATCATGGACTTAATGACTAAACTTGAACAGTTCAACGATGGCATACAGGCCATTGGTAAAACAATTCAGCACTGTGAGGCACGAGGGATCCTTTCTCTCTGAAAGCTCCGGGAGGCTAACCTTCCCCACGCCCGAAATCTTGGCCACGTCCTCCCTCCGCCGGAAGGCTTATGTGTGTGTGTGTGTGTGTGTGTGTGTGTGTGTGTGTGTGTGTGTGTGTGTGTGTGTGTGTGTGTGTGTGTGTGTGTGTGTGTGTGTGTGTGTGTGTGTGTGTGTGTGTGTGAGAGAGAGAGAGAGAGAGTAAATAGTGTGTTACTTTAAACTTACACTCTTTGTAGAGCCCGAACCGGTCTTTCCGTTTCGCACTCAGAATGGAGATGGAAAAAACTCTCTACGCGTCAGTGGCTCGTTATTTGCAACAGTCTGGGGGCATGGACCGCCTGAGGGCCGCTCTGGTGGCCCGGGCCGCACTCTCCCCTGTGCCGAAGATCCTCAAAGTGCCCGTCTTTGTGAATCTCATGGACGTGCGGGAGGTGGACGGTAAGCTGATGGAGTTCTGGCCCTCGGCCTTGCGTTGTGGCGTAAGGATTCGATGGGAAGCTTTGTATGTATTCCGATCTTTTTTTTTTTTTTTTTTTTTTTTTGCTAATTACTGTCGGCTCTTTCGTCAAGAAGAAATTTCAGTGCCGAAAACTGAAAGCGTGATGTTGCAGAGTGTCTGGCGGAAATGGTGATGACGGACCCTCTGCAGGCCCAGCAGCTGTTCCACAAAGTGCTGCACGTGGCAGCCTTGTCCACCATGTCGACCCTCCGCCCGTGCATCACCTCGGGGGACGACCACTGCCCGCCCGCAGCTACGACCGCCCTGCCGACCCTCAACGACCAAGTGTCGCTCTACCCACAGGAAGAGAAGGATACAGCGGGCAAAGATGAGGAAATTGAATCCGTGGATTTTGATCTGTCACTCCAGTGTCTGTCGCCTGAAGGGTCCCCCGGTTCCTCGCTGGCTGACGAGACAGAGACCCTCACCGCGGCTCAGGTAAACGGAGTTTTTTTCTTTTTCTGTGAAAAATGCGCTGTTGACTCCATGCCAATCAACACATTTCCCGCCACAGATTTACGCCCCGCTACGCGTGAGCGGGATTCCTTGGGTCAAGGAGTGGATGGTTAGTAGCGTGCGGGATCTGCCACTGCATCTGAAGGAGCCGATCCTTGGTTTGCTGGCCGGAAGGATTTTGGCCGTTTCCTTGCCGCAGTCCTACACGTGAGTTCCTGAGGGCAGCTTATTGCGCATGTGTAACTGCACACACACACTATTTCTCTCCTCTCTCTCTCTCTCTCTCTCTCTCTCTCTCTCTCTCTCTCTCTCTCTCTCTCTCTCTCTCTCTCTCTATATATATATATATATATATATATATATATATATATATATATATATATGCATATATACACATTTGTGAGTGTGTGTGTGGATCTCTGTAAGAAAAAAAGATTCGGAACTGCCGCAACACCCGCAGAGTCTGGGCGAGGTATGTCTGCAGCAACCCGGGCTGCGCTGGCACAGTGAAGGACCTCCACGTGAGAGTGTTCAGCGTCGGGTACGGCGAGGCGGACACGGTGTATCATGATCGACTCTGCAGGTTAGTGACACGGATTGATTTTTCTATGATATAAATTTCTCTGGATTCTGCAGCCTGCTACCAGCTTTGCTACACTCGCCGCACTTTATTGCAAAGAGAATATTCTGCACTGCAGACATCATTCTTCTGGTTTGCCTCCTTGACAGGGTGTGCGGCTTCTCCTTGGAGGAGGACCCTTCCTCAAGGGAGCTCGGCGAGAAGTTGCAGGTGGTGCTCGTGCCGGCCGAATGCTCGAGCCTCACGAAACCGCAGGCAGAGTTCGCCAGGTTTCAGACGCTTACTCTCGTCCTCAGGGGTATGTGTACATGTATGTTGCACAAAAATAAAAAACAGAGATACACCAACACAGATAGACAGACCAAGAACTAGACAGATAGGTAAATAACTGATGTCTTCCTTCTCCCTGCAGATGAGATGCTGCAGGGCGTGGAGCCAGGCCGGGGCCTCGAGGCCACGGTGATGATGGTGCCGAGGGCGTTCCCGGCGCTGCCAACGCTGGAGGCCCTGGTCGTCCATCCGCCTCGACCCCTCAGGCCGCATTTCACGCTTCCGTCGTTTTTCAGGTTTCAACATACATTTCTTAGCGCTTCTTTCTCTCAATTTGTTAATGAGACTATTTTTTCTGCTTTGATCTCTATTAATGAGATTGATTGCTGAAGATATATGATAATTGTAATTTTAGCTGGGATATTTTCACCCATTATCAACAGACACCTGGTCGAAGACCGACAGTCATCGCCATGGTCACTGGTGGTGACACTGGCATACATGTTCGCATCTACGGTGACACCCGCGGGCACCTTCCACACCTTCAAGTTGGCGCTTCTTCTCTCCCTCGCCTCTTGCTCGCCGTCGAAGGTCTCTTGTTACGTGTCGATGAAGTTTTTGTACTCTTAATTGGTTGACACTATAAGACTTGAAGTGGCCATTAACAGTAATGTCTTTGGTATAAATACATGTACACAGTACCGTGTTCGTACACACAGGCAGGGCTGGCAGTCCTCGGTGTGGGTAGCAACACAACCCTCCTACTACGACTCCTTCGGTATGGTGGTCGCTACGCCCCTTGCAAGGTCGACCACTCCCCCCTGGACTCTGTGTGTGGCGTGTGTGTGAAAGATCCTGATGGCGGGGTGTGGGCGCAGGGAGGATCTTTGCTCATGGCCCACGGGGGCGTCTGCGTCCTCGGGGACTTCTCTACCTTCAGGAAGGACGTCAGGCAGTCAGTGTGTCGAGGTAATGGTTACAGATATGGGATAAATAACTGAAAGTAACGCTTACTCAGTAAATTTATTACAAATAGGCTATATGCTCAGTAAACATGCGTAAATAGTAAATATGCCTTTATCTTGCCCAGCTCTTGAGAGTGGCGTAGTTCATGTGCAGTCCCCGTCTCACCTCCGTCACAAAACGCCGCCTCTTAAGTACCCACTTCGAGCTGCAGCGTGGGCGTGCTACGATCCCGCCCATGGGCGCCGACGAACCTCCACAGAACATGACGATACCTTTCTCCATGTCCCACTCGGAGACCTTACGAAGTCTATCACTGAGTCAGTAGAGTTTGTGAAAGTGATTTCGGAGCGAGTGTTGTTAAATCTATGAAGTACACACACACACGCACACACACACTGTGTGTGTGTGCGTGCGTGTGTGTGTGTGTTAATTGGTTCATTATACATTCCTATTAATGGTACTACATTCCCAGCATCTTTGGATTGGTGATATACTGCGAGACGCCTGATGGAGAATGTGAGAGAGAGGCAGAAGACGTGATCACGTTACAGACCCTCCTGGACAGCACGAATCCCGAGGAGCTCCCTCAACCTCTGCTGCCGCCCGACCAACTCCGCCAGGTCAGTTGTACGGTAGAAGCTAAAGTCTACTGTTGCATTTCTTTATTTGAACCATGCAAATGATTTTCATATGGTCAGTCAATGATGTTAAATCTGAAGAGAAAATTGCACTACGGAGCTTTCTAATGAGTACTGCTTAGGCATAATGAGGTCTTTGTGTTGATTGATGGCTAATGGTTGATGATTGAAACAAATAAATGTGCTAGACATCAAAAGTCATATAGTACCATAGTAAAGTATTGTGGCGAAAAGAATAAACATGAGTGATTGATGAAGGACAAATTGTGTTAAATGTCAAAGGTCGGAGAGCGCTATATAATAGTATTATGGTGAAAAAGATAAAGAGGGCGAGATAATGGAATAAGGCGGTGTTAGTAAAAGGAGGAAGGGGGTTAAGAGTATCTGTGTGTCTGAGGAAGGATGGGGAGCATCGCATGAGGCCAAAAGAGATATTATGGATCAAATAACAAGTAATAAGGGTAGAAATAGGTGTTGGAGAAGTAAGAAGAGAAGCCGGGAATTAGGCAAGGGAACAGGGGAAGAAAGTGCAGTATCAGGAAGAATGTCAGAAGGGGGGAGATCCGGAGAAGGACGCTGCTGTGGCAAAAGGCAGCATCCAGGTGGGGGCGGAAAGGATAAAGGGGAAGGTGCACATGGGGAAGGGGAGGAGGGGGGGTATTGGGGGAGAGTGGGTGGAAGAAGGGTTGGGGAAGCATGAGGAGGAAGATGGCCATCGGTAATTACTTCGAATGTAGAAGGAATGGGAATAGAGATATTAGATGGTGGATAAGAG